ATCATGATAATTAGACATGAATGTACTTCAATGGAAAGCAACATTTAAAATAATACAAAAAGTCGAAGTAACAATATTAGTCTATGAAAAATTAAAGAAAATGAATGTGTTTGATATACAGTCAGTTAACGTTATCATTCAACATAATAAATATTCCAATTTATGGGCAACACAAAATATGGTCATAAGTTGTACAAAAAAAATTAAATAACATGATCAAAATTAGTTATACAGATTTAAAAAGTTGTTTAAGTAATATTGAAAAGATTTTAATTTTTTAGTGAAAATGAACCTAATTTAGGAATAAATATTTTGTTAAACTAGAGTGTTAAATGCAAGTCCGTATATATAATTGTTAAATGAAAGAGTAACACCTCACTTAATAAGTTCGTAGGATGACATATATATGGCGCCTCTATCAACAAATCCGTATGATTTTTAGGAATAACCTTCAGACGACCCCTGTCAAAATTTCATGTGCAATCTGAAGTTTAGTTCACAAGTTACAGTGGTTTTAGTGACGCTACTTTTGTAATTTTTAAAACAATTTGTTAAAAAGCATAAACAATCATCTAAATCTGATACTTGTAATTTTTATAATTTTTTATCTATTGTAATTAATTGTATTTATTAATATATAATTTTTATTGCTAAGAATTTATAATTACATCACTTTTCAAATCATCAGAGAATGATCAGTAGAAATAGGCAATCTCATTGTATAGAAAGAAGAAACGAGACACTTGATTGATCTCTCTGCTGTACGATTTTTATTACATATTAGGACGGGCGAAGTGGAAAGGTTTTAGTTCTTCTAGAGGGTAAATAAACGCCACGTTCATCCGGAATCCCAACAGAATCATTAAAAGATGCGTGCGTGACGTGAAACCGGAAATAAGGCGAATTCAATCATAGCTCTGGAGCTTCGAAAACGCCCGCAGCCCTAAAACTCAATTGCCACTTTTAAGTAGATCACCCTACCTCGTATTTACTCGTAGATATAGTCTGCTGGATTTCCGATATCGACTAGATAGTGTTATTAAGCTTAACTTACTATATATAGAGAAAACGAGGAGAAAAAAGAAGAAATTATATATATAAAGGGAAATGGAAACGGTGAGGAAAAATAAACGTTTCCGAATTGATCGGCTTTATATTTCTCATGCACTATGAAAACAATATCAACTTCCTATTTGAATTAAAATTAAATTATATTACATTATGCATTCTATTCAATATTTTTTTTAGAAACATATATTGATTACATTATGACTACAAATTCTGACTTAAACTGTCAACTGTCAGCTGTCAAATCATTAAATTGTATTTCATGTTTAATAATCAAATATTTAAAAAAAAATATAATTAATAATATGTTTGACAGCATATGAAAGTTAAGCATGTTGATTGGGTGATTAACAGACTATGTCAATGTGGAAAGAATATCATCCTCCTATTTGAATTCAAATTAAATTATACTCCATTATGTATTCTGTTCAATATTTTTTATATACATATATTAATTATATTACGACTACAAATTCTGACGTAAACTGACAACTGTCAGTTGTCAAATCATTAAACTGTATTTTAATAATCAAATATTAAAAAAAAATGAGAATATATTTGACAGCTTATGAAAGTTAAGCATTTTGAATGGGTCACTATGGACACACTATGTCAATGTGGAAAGTTAATTGAATGTAAAATGTAAAGTTTATTTGCACTGCAAACACTGCAAGACTTTTTCATATTAATGTTGAAATTGTATGAACTTTTGTTGATATACAAGGGATGGTTATAATAAAAACGTAATTAATTGGTTCTAAAAACGTAATTAATTTATTAACTAAAAATTCAAGAGAGATATGCAATTTTCACTAGAGGTTTTTATTATATTATTTTTTTTTGTTGCGAGCGGTTTCCCAAATAGTTTATATACGTTAAAATTGCCAGGAGTTGTAATACTCTCGGCACATAATATACACGTCGTCCTAGGAAGCGAACGAGCTCGCACATATACACGTATAGTCGACGACAGGTCTCCAGCGTAATGACAGGGTCAGTGTAGCAAAGTTTAAATTGAATTACAACTCATCCCAAAGTACATAATTATGAACGAGGAAAAAAATATGGGCGATATTTGGGGAGAGCAAAACCGGTAACTAACTTAGATAAACTTCTTCACTTAAGTACATCAATTACTGGTAGTTTCGGGTCCGGCTCGGTCCTTCCCATAAAAATCCATTTAGTACATATATACGAACACTTTCAGAGACGTTAAAATAGCAAATAAAAATATCAAGTCGATTTTTTTCTTAGAATTATCTTTGAAATAAAATTACATAATTAATGAAATGTAGAATAAGTGTAGTTGTTAAAAAAACGGTTTTCGGATCTTAACTATCTACAAAACCGGTTTTCGAATTTTCACAAAAAGAAAAAACTCTCATTTTCTAGAAAACTGGGTTTAATTGTCTTTAGAGTATTGAATAATTAACCAAATTAACCCTCTAACGTCTTCTGGTTCTTGAAGATATTTATGAATTGATATTTAAAGCAAGCTATGATTTGTTGTTCTTCTTCGTCGCTTTTTCGTTAACGAAGTCATCTTCTATTTAATAATTTGGATACAAAATTGATAATATTTGTCCAAAAAAATAATGAATCTAGTGAAAGAAATAAGCTAGATATGTTTGTCTAAACTTTCTGTGGATTTTGTAAATTGACTAAAGACCTTACAACTAATTTCAGTTTTCATTTTTTCAATTCACGTAACAGTGACGGTTTTGTGTAGACTGTTTTATGTTTTAATAAAATAATAAAAACTCGGTTTAGGAATTACATAAACTTCCTCTAAATACCGGTTAAAAAAAAACGGGTTTTAAAAACCGACAAACCCTATTTACAACATATATACGAACACTTTCAGAGACGTTATAACAGCAAATAAAAATACCAAGTTGATTTTCTTCTTTGAAATAAAATTACATAATTAATGAAATCTAGAACAATTGTAGTTGTTTCCTTTGACAAGTACAAACCGACTTTTGTTGCAGAATCATTCTAAATGAAAATAGTAAGTCGATTATATTCTTGGTATTTGCTTCGAAATGCAATCGTATAACCAAAGGAAAGTACAAAAATCGTAGTTCTCCGTTATTGTTCTTTGGCTGCGATTCTATTTTGGGGTTTGGGAAATTGAAACCCCCTGCGCTGTTGGAAAAATGAATTACACCTCCGGACTAGAAAATCGCTCTGGTTTTGCGGGAATTGAATTACATAAAATGGGACGAAAGCTCGAATAAACATTCACCCCACGATATAAATCGCCGAGCGATATAAAAGCGCGACGTGTTATTCTTACACTGGCGAAACATAAATATTATTTCCCACACTTTGTAATAGATACACGAATGCGGTTTTTAAAGAAAAGGACACTGTGTGCAAATGTTATCGTTCGAACAACCGCACACGGTTTTTCTCTCTCCAGCCGACCGTTCTCAATCCTTTGGTAATTGCGAATCTACTTCTCTGAAATAACATTATATTTTATGCTTATCCACAAATATATGTATTTATAAA